ATCCCTTCCACAGAGCAAGACTTGATAAATGCTGTGCAGGTCAGGGACAGGAAGACTCGCTTACCAAGACTACTTTTGGACCTGCTTGCTTATTTAGGAATGTCAAAATACCACACAGTATAGCATATTCTCAACCATTATTTTGTTGTAGTTATCTTTGCTGTGTATTTATTTATTTATTATGCAAGCCTGTTATGTTGGGGACTTTTAGGAACTCTGATTAATGCAGAAAAAAACTTGGCAGAAATAAACAGAGTGATATAGGCATGTGTTACAAAGCTGAATAGGCGAATCAAGGTTACTCATCTAGGCCGAATCTACAGCTGGAATAAATTGACAGGATTGGAGGTATGTTTCAATACAGCTATAATATAGCTGAAGTTAGCAGAGCCATGATAATTTACATAAGCCTGAAAAGCTGCACCATTGAAAGGAAATAATGTTTTAAAAAGAAATTTTAAAAATTATTGTCCAGATGGAGATCTAAGTCATGGATTTTGCTGCTGTTATTTAGTCCCCTTCAATTCTCAGTGCTGCATGTCATCTGTGGTTTGCATCAAAAGGCTCCAGACACCTATGGGAAAGTTTCATAGAGCAGTCTGCAGAGAAGCTGCTTGGCCACTCTCTCCTTTTTCCAGAGCTATATCCATATGCACCTCTCAAACATTGTTATAAAATGTGCTTTAAAGAGTTCATCAGCTCTGACTTTTTTTCCCTCTGGTGACATGATAGTCATTTGTACAGCCAGTAATTGAAATGTCACCAACAGCTGATTATAATTTCAGGTGGGGAATAAGCAGTTAAGCTCTTCAAACAAAAGGTCTCTTTGTCCAGAGCTACCTTCGGCAATAAAACAGGGAGCGTAAAGGCAAGTAGAAATCATAAGTCAGAGCAAAAGGCATATTGTTCTCTATGGAATGGCCTCCCGAGTTGCTTGCAACTCCCTTTTTATTATTATTTTTAAGGGAAATTATACAACTACAACTATGAAATTTCTGTCCCATTCTTCATACTACCATACAGTTCTTCTAAGCAATTACCCTGCCTTCTCTGATAATTCATTTTCTTTGCTGAAGTAATATTTAAGACTGGGAGTTGGCTTTTGACTTGTATCTCCTAATAATCTCAACATCACTGTCATTCCAAGTACAGTCTGTGTTAGGTCATGAACTAAGTGTGTATGTCTGTGTGTTTAATATAACTTAGTGTCCTGACAGCAAGGAAAACACAGGAATAGTACAATTATCCACAGTATCAACCTAAAGAAAAGTTTTCATCTTTCATGAAAGTTTTCTGGTGGAACTTGATAAATATTTTTTTGTGTATCATCTCTTTATACAGCTTTATTTTTTCATTGGTTTTCTTTATTAAAAACAAACAAAAAAACCCCAACCCTCCACCACATTTGCAAATGAGTAAGTCTGCTTCAAGTTCAATGGATGTCTGTGTGTCCAATTAAAAATCATAGTAGTGCATGGGAAATTCAGGTCATGGCAACCTTTTCTCTTGTGTTTATTCGTTGCACCTGCAGGGCTCCCCCTCCTCCATCCCCAAATAAAGTATCTGATGGTAAGATCTGCTTGTTAAATGCATTTAACAAATCAATGCTAATCCATTTTTGTGGCAGGTGGCACGTCGCTGGGGGATTCAGAAAAATAGGCCAGCTATGAACTATGATAAACTTAGCCGATCACTTCGCTATTATTATGAAAAGGGAATCATGCAAAAGGTGAGTAGCTAATTTTGTATTAAATTTCACCAGAGTGTTGCATGTTAATCCATAAGTCAGTTTATGAGGAGTACTTGTAACTGCATTGCTTAGATAGGTTTTTTGTCTATTTAGGCAAACACTAAGCTTTTTCATCTACCAGGTCGAGTATATGCATCAGGATTTTTTTTTCTTTGTAAAAAATGTCTGTGGTTTTAGTTCACACAATGCACGTCATGATTATAGAGAAAGAGGTAGCATTCAAAAATATCCAAAAGAGCTTCCTGGCACCTGGGAAAGGCAAACAGTAGAGTACGCTATGAATAATGTTTTGCAGATCTAAATTAGCTGCCCAGCGCTTGGGTACTTTGGTAAGTGCAAGATAGGGGAGAAAAATGATACCTATTAACATACCAAATACTTTAATATTTTACCAATAGTGTTGTAATAATACCATTTTTAAGTGGAATTTAATATTTTATAATAGGCTGAATTATGAGAAATATTTAACAATAATTTATATATAACAGTCTGGTCTTGCTGACAGTATTCAACCCGTCCTTCTACTGTGGCTTGCTGATTTACATGTATGTTTTTAAACCTTGCTATGTAGTACTACGTAGATTGACTGAGGAATCAATAGGAGAGACCTATCTGCTGCATCTACAAAACTGGCAGGTGTGATCAAGGATCATAATGAACACCTTGTGCTGTAAAACTTGTTCCATATCTTTTCACATTAGTTTTGTGACCTGTGATGACTAACATGTTTAAACCTGCCATTTGCCAATTCCATGAATGGAAACAATGTTCTCGGCTCAAGTTACTGGGCAACTTTTCCAGTAGGTTTTGTGAAGTCTCAGTTTGGAGTTGCCTGTTTTAAGTGCTCTTGCTTTGATTATGGGACTGTTGTAGCGCTCTCCTTTTTCGCTATCCAGGAATCAATTTGGACAACGATCTTGGGCTAGTATTGGCTTGTGGTACTTGAGCAGCACGGTGCCTCATCCATTTTTGTGTGTCACGTAACCGTGCGTTGAGTCTTTGTAAAGTGGACTGGAGACTGGGTCCAGTCGGGGAGAAGCAGAAACACTTGATTTTGCTGGGTGGTGCTTCAGCCAGAGGAGGTCCTCGTTGCAGGTTACAGCTCAGCTCCATAGGCAATTGTGCCAGCACAGTTCAAAGGCAGCACAGAGGCAAGAATAAGTAGCAAAGAGAGTGAAACAAGTTGAAAAGGTGGGGACGGGAATGCTATAAGGCTGATAATGCTGCCCAACCCACACATCCATTTAATATGGCAAGTTTACAAGTACTTCTGACAGGTAGCTTGCTACCTCTTAAACTACTACTTTATTATCTACAAGAATGTTGTATTTAACACACATTTTAAAAGCTTGTTTGGATGCTTATTTTTCTGACATAGCAATGTCTGAGGTTTGCCCTGGGATCACCCTATCTGGCCAGGTAGTGTATGTTAAAAACTAATAGTGGTTGTAGATTCATAGCAGGTTTCTTTACTGCAACGTTTGTATGCACATTTTTTCCCCTTTTGTTTTAAGTTAAGCAATGATAACAGGTTATGCAAATGCCAAATTTCTGAATGCAGCCTTCAGTCTGTCAAACTTGCTGACATTAATTTGATGAAAAAAATTCTACTGCAGATACAGTCTCTACCAAAACTTTACATTATTTTTAGAATAAATAAGCTGAAAATTTAAGGAGGTGCTTCAGACTATTTTGTACCCATAAGAATAAAGTTAAGTTTGCAACACTTTTGCCACCTTCATTCACTCACTTCCAATGCTGTGCTGGAGTTGCAAGAAGCAGACAATATGATCTTTGTTTTAAAATAATTTTAGTAAACTGTGAGCATGCAACATGGTTCATCTTTTTTAACATAATTCTTTAAATAAGGTGCTTGAGAAGACACTATATTGACTTTTTTTAAAATAAGACAATAATTCTGTATTGTTTTTATCATTCTTCAGCTTTTAGGAAGATGAAGCACAGACGTAGTGCTATTTCTGAATAAGGGAAAACTTTAGGTTCTTTGGACAAATTGTCCCTCCATAAGCAAATCCAAATGTCCCAGCTTTGCATGAGCAATTGCTAAGTACATATTAGCCTACGTATTTGCTTATGCTGTCCCTGTACAATCAGCATGCACTGTAACTAAGTGCTTTTATACTTAAGTATGAATCAATCTGCGTAAAGTAAAATTCAGATCTCTGTCATGCAATGTGATTTTTTTTTTTCCACTTCGCACACAGAGTGTTGGACTTAGTAATTTTATTTTGCCACTGAGGTGACAATTTGTTTACATTTTCCAATAAGAACAGTTCCATTTGTGGTTAAGTATAGGAAAAGATCACAAACAAAAGTTTGGAAGTAGAATACCTAGTCCATCTTCCAACAGGATATCACGTGTGGCAAAACCAAGAGTGTTCTGCACAGTCTGCTTCTGCAGATCCCTGTTGTCTTTGCTAGGTCATTGCCTTACCAGTTCTGCTGCTGTGTTATTAATTGCGTAACGAAGGTGAGTTCTTCACAAGACTGTTGAACTTGGAGTTGCAAAACCACGAGGCCTTACGCTGCATCTTTTTGTCCCTTCTCTTGTCCTAAGGTGGCTGGAGAAAGATACGTCTACAAGTTTGTTTGCGACCCTGAAGCGCTTTTCTCCATGGCTTTTCCAGACAACCAGCGCCCCTTACTGAAGACTGACATGGAGCGTCACATCAATGAGGAGGACACTGTACCTCTGTCCCACTTTGATGAGAGCATGGTCTACATGCAGGACGGTGGCTGCTGCAACACCCACCCCTATAACGAAGGCTATGTCTATTAACAACAGTGACAGTGAAGGGGATGTTTCCCCCCTCCCTTAGGCTTCTCCTCTTTCACAAGACCCAGAGGAAAGCTGACTCGACTTCAGTTTGTTTTTTAAATAGTACACTAAAAGGGGCTTTTCCTGTTGCATTACTCCTATGGTCTGCCATGGACAGCGCACTTTATTTGAAAGGGGAGGGTTGGAACCTAAACGTTATTCTGTGTAACAGGAGGAAAAGGGTGGGTTTGCTTTTTACTTAAGTTTGGGAAGGGAACATACAGGTTTTAAGTACAAAAAAGCTATATCATGTCTGTTTTGTTTCATATCAGCATAAGATATTGTACATTTTCTCTGGGTATCCATAGTACAGTTAATTCTCATTGTGCAAAATAACCACTTGATGATGATATCAGCACAGCATGCCTAGGGCATTTGTTTCTTGCCATTCTTACTTGTCTTTCTGCAGTTATAAAAGAGAAGCAAAGCATATACCACAGCATTTAATTTAGAAGTTTTTTGGTTGGTTGGTTGGTTGGTTGGGTTTTTTTGGAATGGCCTCAAAAAAAAAACCTGTTTAATGACAGAGTGGCTGTAAATACAGTGACCAAGCAAAATCCCTGACTTCAGACTGCAAGCCACATGCTGTATCTGGTGCCATGTTGCTATACATATATGGCCCATGCTATGGCTTAGACCTGTCAAGATCCATTTGAGGGTAGTAATTACATGTGGTAGGCTTTCTGATGATCATGTCAACATTAAATACAGGATCATGATCGGGACGGAGAAAACATTTTGTATCCTTCCATTTCCTTTGGTACATAAATAAGTTATTTAATCAATAGGAATTAACTGTACTAAGTCACATATCTAATTATGCTGTTTAGACACAGCAAGCACTCCTTGAGAAAAATATCCAATACACTAAATAGGTACTTTAGTAATTTTTAGACACGGTACCCATTAATATGCATTTAAACCTTTTACTGCTGTGTTATGTTGATAACATATATAAATACTAGATAATGCTAATGCTTCTGCTGCTGTCTTTTTCTGTAATATTCTCTTTGATGCTGAATTTACTATGACCATTTATAAGCAATGCTGTAACTACAGGTAGCATTTCAGGACAAAATAGATGACTTGAACCATTTATTGCTTAGAAAATAGCTTACGCCATAGCTGTGCTATAAGCAGCTTTTATGCGCATCCACAAATGACTAGTAAGCTTCAGCTTGCTAAGGAAAGCTCTGCAGAACCTTTTGTAATTTTTGGTGGAACAGAGACTTAGATGAACTGTCAAAGAATACCATGAAGTCGCTGTATGACGTTGTAGTGCTGGCACTGATGTTACCAATCAACTTGTTTTGGACACTAAATGTAAATGTGATCAGATATGCTCGGAAGACAATTTAAATTTTGAGGGTTTTGGGGGGTTTTTTTGTTATTTTTTCAAATTGTTTTATTTTTTGAGAGGGGTAATCTTGAACACAAGCCACACACACTATTCTGTATGTAAAATGAAGAAAAGAAAAAAAAAAAACGCAAGCCCTGAAAAAACCTCAAAAGTTTTAAATATTTAGGAGCACCTTCTCTGAAATACAATATTTCCTAGTTTGAAGGGAGGGAGAGGGGGTAAGATCTGGATTTCATTTTTTGCCCAGTGAAATTTAAATATGTGTTAATATGGAGTACCTCATTTTCCTATATTCCCGAGAAGTGGGAGGAAAATGAATGCATAACCATAAAACAACAAGAATAGTTTTCATCATAATGGATGGATTTCAAAGACAATCCTAGGTGGTGGGTTAATTTTCCATCCTCTGTCAGTTAAGACACTAGTTAAGCTATGAATATTTTAATATGCAATTAATCAAAAGTAAAGAAGTAATGGTCACTAGAAACCACAGGTGCATAAAAAACATTTGGGCAGGTATTTAATTTACTCAGAACCATAAGACAACATATTTTATGGGAGTGTATATATGCCTTAATATGTCACCTAATTCCGTCATCCGTAAGTCTCAATGGCACTTAAATTTTCAGTGATCAACCCAGAATCAGAAGTCTAAAATTGCAGAATTAGCAAAAAGGAAAGGGAAAAGGTTGAGTAAGATTGTTTAAAAAAATGTGGTTTCCATTGAAATAAGGTTCAAATGAAACATGCTTTGATGAAAAGTCCTTGGATTGGTTTTGGTTCTTTAATGTCAGCACGGAGCGCCTCTTGCCTGTGGCAGGATGTGGGTATTTGGGAAAGGGGTTGGAAAAAAAAGGAAAAAAAGGAAAAAAAAAAAAAAGGAAAAAAATGCATCAAATGTGTAATATTTAAGAAGAAATATATATATATCTGTATATGGTAGTGACTCACTGAACAAAACAAGCAATCAGACCAACATTACATGATCTCTCAGCAGAAGATATAAAAGTCTTTCACTGAACTGATTAACCCTTTTTAAAATGTACCTAAGAGGTTTATTTAAAGTCTGTTTTTATTCCACTTTTTTGTTTGTTTGGGGGGGGTTTTTTGTTTGTTTGGGGTTTTCAGGTAGAATAATAAATCTGGCAGCTGATTTCTGCAAGATTGTTGTGTATTGGATTCCTAACCATTTGGACTGGAGAGGCCCGTGCAGTAAGGTCCTTTTGGAAGAGGAGATGATGGCCTGTTCCCAGTGCCTAGAATGGCTTCCTGCAAAATGTAACAAAAAAAAAAAAAAGAGAGGAGTATGTACAATTCATGTGTATGTATATATGAGTTATAGCCAGGAGTTAGATTGCCAAAGCATCGTATTTGACTGACAAAAGGGAGGAGGATGGTCTATGTAAATTTAGAGAAAGATTGATTCCAACTAAGAACACTTACACATTTTCACAGGGCATTTTAATACCCTACTGAATTTGAATGTGGGATGTTTGGGGCTGGGGTGGGGGTGCTGGGTTTTCATTTGGTTGGTTGGGGTGCTTTTGGTTTTGTTTTCAAGCTGTGCCACAAGTGGAGGGAAAACACAGGCTTCGCCTCTGTTTTCAGGAGGAGCTGTAATGGAGTTAGCTTGTGCATGTTTGCTTGTGTGTCTTTTTGCTGCCCAGAGCAGTGGGCAGCCCAGGGTAGTGCTACTGTGAAGCAAATCCGGGAGGCATCACTGCAAGACTCACGCCCTGTGGTGCGGCTGTAGATGCTCGGGTTTCCTCTGCCGTGACAGTTCAGTTGCACCGGTAGCTGAATGGAGGTGAAATTAGATAAGGACTTGGCAGATCCCCTCAGAATCCATTTGTGAGAGTTAAGGTTACAGGTTTAGGGCAATGCTCAAATTTTGCTTTAGGGATATGACTTTCCATGACAGACAGCCTAAGCCTTTTCTCTCCAAGGTCACACCAGTCTAACTTTCCCACACACCAACTACAGTGCAAATCTTAATATCACGTTCTCTGTAAGCATGAATTTCATATGCTTGTCAGACCAAATCTGCCTGCTTTACTTACAGTTGGCTGCTGTGGTAACCTAGGGGAAATTGGAATACAGGAACATTAAGGATCATTTTCTCTAATAATTCCCTGCAAAGAACCTTTTGCTCAGAATCTTTTCGTCATTGGGATTCTCTGGTACCTGGGACTATTCCCCAGGGATTAGTGCTTAGAGTTTTATTGCCCTTGACATCTGACTGGTTTGGGCTGCAAGTCCATCTTCACAGGACAATATCACCTAGTAAATATTTTTGCCTTGTCTGTGGTTTTTTGTTTGTTTTTTAATAGCAGGAAATAGATCAATGTGTGCAAAAGGTATTATGAAGAAATCTTGGAATTGTTAATGGCTGTATTTTCTGCTCTGAAGAGCATTAGCTTCAGTTCACGTACTACAGGTAATAGCACCCATGAACAGCCCTATTCAGTGCTCACATTAATATCGCTGAGGACTTTTCCAGATAATCTCCTCCAAAGATGTAATTAATATGGTATCTTACGCCCTAAGAATCATCACTCTGAAATGCCCCACTTGCATCTAGCTGTAAGAGCCTAGGAGATTAGTTTCTCAGTTCTCTTCACTGGTTGCTTGGCGTTTTGTTGTGGTTTTTTGGGTTTTGGGTTTTTTTGTTTGTTTTTTTTTTTTTTATCAGAGGCTAGTCTGCTTGGAAACGAGGTAGCAGCTGGGAGCAGGTGCCTGTGCCTCAGAAACTCCAGTTCAAAGTCCCCTGTGTTTTGCTAAGATACCAGGCTGAGAACTGAAGCATTGCAATACATAACTGAGCCCTGCCCTCCCTGTTCTCTTACAGAAGAGGGAACTACAGTCCATCGTCTTCTGTTGCTTCTGCTACAGGAGTGATAATCCCTGGCAGAGCAGGGGGATGGAAAGCTAGGGGCAGTAGCATTTTAAAACTACAAGGTTACCCAGGGGATGTCTGTCAGATCCCGAAGGATCACAAATGCATCAGCAAAGCACTGTACCTTACCACCCAGCTTTCCTGACTGCGTAGGTAGGTAAAGTTAACTTCATCTTTTACTTCAGGAGGTTGAAATATTGGTTTCCCCCTTGAACACCAATTTAATTTCTGTGGGAAGGAAATATCTGTGCCATCTTCTTATGTAATAGTCTGAAAATGCATTTGAAGAGTCTCGCTGACATTTTCGCAAAGAACTATTTTTGTGTGAAAATGACACAACAAACATCACCAAAAGAAGGGGTAAATAAACGCCAAGAAGGTATCCATACATCATGTTCTCCAAAACTATAGCGTTATTTACCCTAGAAATGTATCATGTCTTTAATACTGCTGCAGTATTATCCTTATTACATACTTTCATGGGACTGACCTCAAAAATACACAGCATACCCTGACGGTTTTTTGGGAAATGAGCTTCCTGCTGTTAATAGAGGTCACAGGCAGGTACCTCTGAGGCAGGGTCACAATCAAGCATTTGGATCTGGTAAGCCATAATTCTATGCCTTTGCTCTTGCAAAGCTCTGTGGGCATTTCTGCCCGTGTCCATGCTTTTTAGTTGCATGGTAGAGAGGTAATTACAGCCATTGGTTGGTTGGGTTTGGGTTTTTTTGTTTGTTTTGTTAGTTTATGAGTAGCTATGGTTTGTTCTGTTTCAGAAGAAAAGTGTCAATATATGT